GGGGGGGGGGGGAGCAATGGAAGAGAGGAGGGAGGCAGACGAGGCGTGGATAGGAAAAAACAAGGCAAACCAAAACTCTTTTTGAACTTTCTGGTACTTTTGTCCAATGGTAAAAACTTGTAAATAACATCTCATGCTCACTGCAACACAGGTATTTTTAAAGGGGGACAATGGCAAAAATATTAAGATGAATTCTTTCATCCCCCAAATCAGATTATAACCACAAACTCTTATTAAAAAAACAATAGAGGCAGCAGCTTGCTACAGACAGTCAACATTTGGAGGCAGTAGCTTCCACTAAGACAAGATGGAGGGGCAGGCAGTGAACAGAAGACTTGCACAGGATTCCCGTTCACATCACCATCAGAATGGCTATGTTTCTTCCTGCTCTGATAGTCAAAATGTCAAAAGATCCAAAATGTTTCAATATTCATGAGGTGGGACACAGTAGAGGAAATGCAACAATTTGTCTTATTTTATCTTCCTCAAAGTTTCTTATTTTAAAACCATGTGAATTCATACGGTACTACAGTACTACCTGTAAACCCTGCTTCCCTATTACTTCCTTTATATAGTAATAATATACAGTTTTACATATTTTCATTAAGAAAAATGAATTATTTAATATTAAGTGGCAATCACAGAAATGCTACTGGAAAAACACTGCTACTTCTCATAGCAGAACTTCAAGTTTAACATTTTTGTATGAAACTTCAATGGAAGTGTTTCAATTTTGTGGGGAAGCAAAGCTTTTCTGATAAAAGGCATCTTGGAATCTTTAAATTAGAAACAATGGAATGATGAGACACTTCGTTTTTTCCTACAGTGACCAGTAAAACAGATTAAAAAATAGTATGGGGCTTAAAAAAACACCCAACAGTACGGGGACAGGCTTGGGAAGTCACAAAAATGTCAAAAGCAAAGGAAAACAGCTTTTAAAAATTCATTGCTCAGTAACCTGGCTTCAGGGCATGAAGGTACATAAAGCATTCTGAACAATGGAAGCACTGGAAAAGAAGTCTAGTATGCCTAACTTTATTTGGTTAGAGGTTAGATCAGTGACCAGAAACACACCGTACTACAGGAAATGTTGGTCAGTTTCTCTCAATTCATTACATGCAAGCTAACTCTCTTCCCATTAACAAAAACACTAGCCTGGACACAGGGCAGAGAAAAGCCAGAACATGACTTGTTAAACAGGAGTTGTATGTCTGGAACCTGGGCTTTTCAAAAGTAAAATAATTGAGCTGGGTTATCACGAAGGCCTCCTTGACAATATGGATAAAGCTGAGCTACTGAGTATATGCTGACAGGATTTTCTAGTTAGCCTGAAGACATGCTAGCAGCCCCTTCTCTCAATTCCTTGAGGCTTTGCGGAGAGCAGACATTATGCTTCAAACCAGTGTCCATGCAAAACACCAGGCCACCATAATGTGCACAGGTAAATGTAGCACTAAGGTAGGTCAGATGTCTTCCTAATTTCCAGTAGAGACATCACTTGGCGTGACTTTTTTTCAAGGCCTCAGTACAGTCGGCCACTGGAAAGATAATGGCTCAAGGTCTGCACTGGGGAAGGCGGGAAAGGAAAGCCTGCAGCATCCCTATAATCCTGGTTGTGATTTCTGGATTGTGAGAATCAAATGCCTTCACCTAGCAGGACTCGTGCCAGCGAACTTCTGTCAAGAGTGTTGGAAGTTCGTACTCGCACCAATATGTGAATAGGGACTCTTGGGCAGCCTCTCTGTGAGCCCCTGAAGATCTCCCCAATACAGAGGACAGAGGTTTGTCTTAACCTAAGCAACATGACTCTCTGTAGTTTCCCTGTCCACCTGGTTTCAAACTGCATTGTAAAGAGAATAAATAGCTGATTTATCTATAACCCTCACAGCAAACACACTTCTGGTTTAAAATCGCAAGCACCAAAAGAAGCTGATAATGTGTGATGCTCAGTATAAGCAAATCAGCTAAGACGCTCCTACACTCATTCTCAACAGTAACCGGAGTGTGGACAGCACACTGGACTTATAGGAGCTGGGTACAGTGTGATACTTTCCTCATTTATGAAATGGCAATTATTTATTTCAGAGGGCTGTTGTGAGGGATAAAATAAGTCATATATGAAACACTGCTTATAAGACAGTAAGTTATTTTGTACCCTAAGAGAGCTTGAATTCTCACATGTCCATTGTTAATGCTTCTTACATACTAGACAGTCCTATTTAATCAAACAATATGCTGGCTACAAAAATTCATCTAACAGATTTTTTAAAAATTACCTACCATTCCAGGTGCTAGGGCAAAAGGATAGGGGTAGAGAAAAAGATACTTGCCCTCAATTAAATACTAAACACCACCAAAGAGATTCACTACATACTCTGGCCATTGGAAATGGAAACAGTGACCTGGAATGGGGAGATAGGTCCACTTCTGCAGAGATGGCCCTGAGGAGACTAAGTGTGATGCCCTCACCTCTCCCAGCCCTCCAGTTCTCTCTGCTCTCATCCACACTTCTTCCCCCTTTTTAAGATTTTATCCAAATATGTACCAGGTAAAGAGAAGAGAAAGATGTGAGATGTATATATATCGTGAATAATCTGTTTGTTTTGTGGGGAGGGGAGAAGTTGAGATTCTACAGAAAAATACTCTTTGAAAAGAAATTACGCTGTATTTTTCTAACTTTGAGAAAGAAAACGAGTGGAGATTTTTTTTAAAGGCATATCTCTGTCTTAGGAATTCCTGGAACCCTAATGATCTTGTGCTTTTTACCCCCTGCAGCTGGGAGGAGCTGCATCAGGGGGGAGGATCTGGCTAGTGTGAGGAATCAAGTCCTACAGAATTGTGCAGCCCAGATCTCAAATACTCAGTTATGCTGAATCCTCAAATTTGCCCAGGAATACACAAAACTTCTAGCACATATGGGAAAAAAAAACACTGTCTTTGACAAAGCCCAGGTTAGACAAAATGAGCAAATTAGAAGAGATAACAAGTGAGTGAAAAGGGCTGGGAGGTTGAGGACAACAGCAAAGCAAATCTGTCTGCCATTCAAAAGAGGAGGAAGTTACATGTATGAATGTTAGAGCCAAGCTGACTCTTTCACCTTACCTGATCCCACACAATACTGCTAACACCAGCTGACGAGATCTAGACCTTAAAAGGTCTCAGGATCCTTTAGTAACCCAAACATCTTGAACAGTGACTCTCCTATTCACCACAAGTCCACTCTATAACTAGTCTTCTAGTAAGGATGCAACACACTAAGAATCTGTTTTCAGTTTCTCTTAACAGAAATTAAAGGAATAAAAACAACAGGCTAAGCTTAAGGATATCACTGAAAACTATGACAAAATCCCGTGTAAGTACACAAAACCATGGGAAAAAAGAAGTCTGAGGTCCTCTTAATACTTTCAAAGAAGTAATGAAAGGGATGCCTACAGCTACAAGCAAACATACAATTAATATAGTCTTTGGCATCTTGGGTCTTTTTCTCATCTCACTATACTCAAATAATTTTAATAATACCTATAATTATAACTCTACTTAGAAATGGTTAGTTTTACACTAGGGGGTCAAGTAGAACACAGCTTACCAGAATTAACAGAATTATCTTGGTACTTCAGAAATCATTTTATAGTTCTACAGTTAATGGTGAACTGAAAAGCTGTTAAAGAAATTAAGCCATTTAAGATTGGTTCTTCAGAGGTGTTAGAGATACTATATACAGCAAAAAACAGTACATGCATAAACCCAATTATAGATTGGATGCACTTTAATTTTAAACTATAACTCATAAATGTATCTAGTTTATATTGTTAGGTTTGGTATAGCTGATTTTAGTTACCCCAAAAGCTTTTTAAAAGGAGTCTATCACATGTCTTCCAAAACTCAAAGTTCTAACATCAGTGGTAAATGTCTTTTTCTACATTTATTGTCAACTTGAAATAAATTAAGAAACTGACCAATATTTCTTACTGCACTGGCATTTCAGGTAGGGGAGTAAGCAATGGACTTGTTAAATGTCTAGTGGTGGAAAGTAGCAATAAGGAGTCTCCACTGGCCCAGACAGGCTGCACTGCCTCTAAATTGTAACAGAGAGAGGCCGCTCAGTCAAAGGTCTGACATAGGAGAAATATCACAGGGCAAGTTTCTAGGGACAGAACTGAGAGGCAGAAACAAGCTAACTTGACAGGATAAGAACATCAGAAAAAGAAGCTCAGCTCCATCATTACTTCTCAAAACTGAACAGGTTTCTCACTCTACTTTTACAGGGATGACATTGCCATTCTTTTTAACTTCAGAAGAAAGTTAGTTTAAGGCATGATTCACACAGACATCATATTCAAAATGTTAACAGGATCACAAACCTCCTAGAAAACAATCTTACTAAAGATTATTTATTTTAAAAATTCAATCTCCTAATTTACATCTCTTACATTATAAAACATATTTACACATGGGCAATTAGGTAAAACATAAATCTTATAAGGCTATATATAGTTATGAGAAGTCAAGAGCAATGTACAAATGAGTAATTTGAACACTAACTAAATAAATTTGAAAATACTGTTTGGTCCACATTTAATCATGTCAGACCTAATAGCCAAGCTATGTAGAACAGGTTGAGTGACAGGAATAACAGTGCGGTACCAGACGAAATAAAACAGAACACCCAACAGTACAAAAATCAGAGTTGTGACCAACATGATAAGCACAGGTCTGAATTAACATATTTTATATTTCAAATACATACACTTTTGCAAAATATAGTGACTTATGTAGAAACAAAACTATTTAAAATACTATGATTAGCATAAAACAAATGAAAACAGTCACGTCTCAAATCTATAAAGCATAGTTAACACAGCATTCAAGAGAGGTCCTTCACAAACAAAACAAAACAAATATATATATGTGTATGTACCTGCATCCTTCTTCTCCAATTCATCCCTAATTAGAGGGGAAGTAAGTATCACCTTCAAAGTTAGTGTGGGCTCTTTTGTATTCCGAATTATAATAGATGCCTCATCTACACATTGTTCCACTTCATATTTCTCTTCTGTGAGTTTCTGAAAGTCACCAAGATGTCAAAAACATCCAATTAATTCATTTAAAATTTTAAAAAATGAATAACTGCCCCTTAATTTTCAAGTGTTATTAACTACTAGTAATACTGTGCCAAGAGAGTAAATAAAGTTGTTCTTTAGTTTAGGGATAACATTTCTCTCTCCTCCCAACTTATCAGCAAATCCTTTCTCCATCCCTCAAAAAGCAACCACAATGTCAACTCTATACAATTATAAACAGTATTTAAACTCATTCTTTATAATATTTGAAAGTAAAATACTGACAGCATCATTATGTAATAAAGAGTAAATTACTGTTCTTTAAATTATTACAGAGAACTACTGTAGAAAAATAAATTGCTGGGAATGCTCTCTAAACCAATACCTTTTTTGATAGGACAGCCTAAAAAGGAACTCCTACTTACCAAGGACTTACAAATTTGAGATTATGTAGGTTTTTATATAAGATTATATAGATTTCTAAAGAGAATCAAGTAAGGATGAATAAAAAAGAATCTCTGCACACTCACAAGCAGAAAAATTAGTATAAACAAGTAACTTCCCTTCTCTAACAACAGGTCTCAGAGATCACTCCAGTGAGACCCATCATTATGGGACAAGTCATCTGACAACCACAGGGAAACAAATGTACATCGCTCCATTCAACATACAACTATATGCAATTTAAGAGCCTTCCACAAAATAATCACCAATTAGAATCACATAAGTTGAATTTAATATATCATTATACATTATATATAGTTTAAGAAATTACATAGGGCCTTTCTTGGAGGTGAAATTTAGTATCTATTACCTGACATAAATAGCTGAATGGAAACACTACTGGGTCTTTGCTCATCAATGTACATTAAAAGAACTCAGAGCCATTTACATAAAAATAGCATTTTACCATTAAACATTTCAAAAAAAGACAGGAAATAGAAATTCATTATCCAATTTTGAATAGAGGAAACCCAGGAAGGAAAAGGCCACAGAGTAACTGGAAAAACCAGAACTAGAATACAGAGAAAACTGCTCACATTCATTCTGCCACTATAAGAGCACTAAAGATGTCCACCAGAGAATGAGTCAAATGCTATTTCTCAGTCACGCATGCAGATCTCCGTAAGATACACCCAAAGTAAGAGACATACGGGTTCGTTTTGGACCAGACAAGTTGTAAGTGACTTCTCCCTCCTTGCTCAAGAAATTCTAAAATCACCCTAGAGCCCAGCCGGGCGTGGCTCAGCAGCTGAGCATCGACCCAGGGGCCGGGAGATTGTGGTTCAATTCCCGGTCAGGGCACATGCCCGGTTGTGGGCTCGGTCCCCAGCTGGCAGTGAGCAGGAGGCAGCCTTTCAATGACGATTCTCTCATCATTGATGTTTCTCTCTCTCTCTCTCCCTCTCCCTTCCTCTCTCTGAAATCAATAAGGATATATATATTTTTAAATAAATAAAATAAAATCACCCTAGAAAAAAATATGTACAGAAAAAGTCTGGTACAACCTCAATTAATTAAGGAACTGAAAGTTGTGCTATAGTAAGAGCTCAAAAAGAAAAAGAATAAAGATTTTTAAACTTGTAAGAAAAGCAGATCATATCAGAGACTGGTTTTCCACACAGACACCAAGAAAACAAGGGGGAAGCAGGAAGTAAAAGCAGAATCACCTGTAAAATAATTTTCTGGAATATTAGAAATAATGTGTGCGCTTATATGTATATATTTGGGCGTGTGTGTGTACATGTATACAATCCAATGAGATGGATATACAATTACGTCATTTCACCCACGTACCTATAGCAATGATCTAACCATCACACAGGGCACCTGCTGTCACTGTTGGATAATTTCATTGGCTGTATTAAACTGAAACATTTTGCATCACTTCCATTATTGGTCTTAAGAGTTCAGGCCTCTTTTATCTTCTTCAAGAAGCCCTTCAAAGACCTAAAGCTATTTATGTCTTGTTTAGTCTTCTCTTGCCTAAAAAGCCCCAGTCCCTTTAAATTTGAACTAGTTTATATAGTCTGCACTCTCTCCTGCGTCCCGCCCTTGAATACTTGCTAGCTCAACAAGAGCATTTTAAAACTATGATGCCCAGAAAGAAAGACCCTCACTCAGGAGAGGAAAAAAAAATGCCGAGTTCACACAGTTGTGGTCTGCACAGAGAAAGCTCTATTAATGCAGACTGAAGCTTGGTATATCTTCAATACCGGAGAAATGTGATAGACTTTCAGAATAAGAACTCTGATTTATTACAGCACTGGTTCTCAATCCTTTTTCCACCCTAACACATGAGTAATATGACTACTCTAAGAAATAGGACTCACTAAAGAAAACAGAAATGGGGGTGAGATGGTTGAAAAAGCCTCTAATACATATAGCCAACCATTTGTCTATTACTTTATTATAGATTTAAGAGTACAATGTTCACTATACTAAAAGTAGAAATACAGATTAAATTTTAAAGCAATAAAAATAATGGAAACAAGGAATTTTATTAACAGTCTAATAACAAATAGCCAGAAACCCATTACTGAGCTTTCCGCTTCTTAAAACTTTATTGTACTCCATGCTGCTTAACACTTCCCCTCTCCAAATGCTCACAAAGGGCTTTAAAAAAATGTTTAAAGAAATAAATTTAACCCTAAGAAAGACCAGAAATATTTCATCCGAATAAAAAATGGAAAATCCAAATGTTTGTCCAGTCACTTAAAAAACTGTAAGTTAAGATCTAAGACAGAATGATAAAACAAAATAGATACTCCAAAAATTAATATAGGGGGATGTGTCAACAAGTAACACAATTTGACTGTCAAGAATGCTGGATTAAAAAACCAGAAAGATGGCTTTGACGACCAGTTGGTGAAAAATGAAAGAAAATGATCCACTAACAAAGCTAATTAAAAACAAGTGTAAAATTCCTATTTAAAAAAAAGAGAGAGAGAAACATTTTTAGAAGAAAAACAGAAAAAAATCAACAAAGAGAACATTCAACAACTCAAAGGTGTGGGCCTGTGAATTGGTACCTATTTATGTGACATGAGTATAAAGACTGCTATGAAATCATCAAAAAGCTACAATCTAATGATACCAACATAACACATCTGAAACAGAAAGATGATCACAGCTTCCCAATTAGTGATGCAACTGGTCCTGGGAGTAGGCTAGCAGAGTGGTCCCAGGGTTGCCTTCAGCCCTGAGCTTTCAGCCTTCAGCAGCATCTTCCAGGAATCACTCTAACATTAAAATTTTCTAAATGCCTCACCATGTGAAAAAGGATGGGAAACAAGGAATTAACAGTGACTTTGCATTAACAGAATGAATGAGTGACTGTTAAATTAACTGAGGGTCTGATATTAAAAGTTATCATCTACGCAAATCTCCAGTTGTCTATGCTCTTTTTGATCTTTCAATTCTTTTCTGCATTATACCAACCCTTCCAAGAGTTTTACAATGTGGAGAGACCTAGTTTGGAAAACAGGGAGACTGTCAGCAAGACACACCTGAAAAATTTAAGACTGTACCTTAATAGCCATTGGTAAACGTATCCAGAGTACTAATCACCAGAAATTTGCTTTAAATGTGATGGATGAGTCACTGATCCAGAGGAGCAGCATTCCTTTTGTCTGTACCCTTTACTATTACCAATGTCTTGTTACTGAATTTAAAGTCACTACCTACTTTGTCACCTTTTTACAAATTCTCCTAGAGGTGCAATTAAACTGTACTCACCTGAATCTGAATAGGAAGATTATCTTTGACTGTATTTAACAGGGTCTCTGTGGGTTTGTCTTTGCACATTAAAACCAGCTCCAAATCCATATCATCTTTAATCAGCAAGCCTTTTGCAACCAGGCCAATTCTCATTACACCACACAATGTCCGACCACCTTGATCCCTAAAAATAAAAGTCTGAATGATTACTTTTACAATCTATTTCTTGACTAAAACTTAATCATTACTTGGCTTCCATTAGTTATATGATTCTAGAAATCCACAAAAGTTTATGGGGTAAGCAGAACAATGTGATAAAAGTAAAGAGCTGAGGAAAGAACAGATCAAAGATAATTTGCAGGGTACGAATTTCTAACCCAGCAGTAGCTAAAGGAACAAATACTCAAAGAACGAGTCATGAGTGATGCAAAAAATAATGTTAACAACTATCCTTGATTTTAAGTTTCCTAGTGGTTCATTTTCCTTAATCACATGTGAAAATATAAGCTAAGCAGTCATTCAATAAGTACGCAAATGTTTGAGTATGGAAAACATACTAAAGGAGATCCAATCACTCCTGCTCCTGAGGCTTCCACTGTGTAAGTACAAAAGCAGTAACCTGCTTAAAGGGGGAAGAGAAAGTAAAATCTGAGAACAAACTGCATGCCACAATTCTCATTTAAAACTCATGCCTGCACTTGAAAGACAAAAAATGAGAATCTCAGAAAAGATAATTAATTGTTCAAGTTCCCAGTGAGAGTAAAATGGCAAAGCCTGGATTCAAACTCAAGTTGGTATGACCACAACACTCGGGTTCTTTTCATTATTATGACTGTATCCCAAGTACAGAAGAGAATTAGAGGTCAAAATTAGAAAGGTCAACAAAGCAACCTCAAAGTCTGACTTCAGCCCAGTCTTGATTTGGTTAGACAGAAAAAAGGTCATTCTAGCTGGAGGGAAAGAATCAGCAGAGTGGTGAATAAACTAGAGAAAGGAGAAAGGAGAAAGGAGAGAAACAAATTGCGAAAATGGAAACAAGATGGTAAATTATAAATAATCCAGTGACTGGGATCAGTACCTGGCACACCTTACAGATTCATAAATAATAAATCAATAAAAAACTTTAAGGGTGGCAAAGGATAGGAAAAAATTAAAAGTATGTTAAAGCAAGCAACCCATGTGTAGGGAATTATTTAACATTAAGAACAGAGTTGAGCCCTGGATGACGGCTCGGTTGGAGCGTTGTCCTGCACACCAAAAGGTTGCAGGTTCAATCCCCAGTCAGGACACATACCTAGGTTGTGGGTTCCAACCCCTGGTCAGGGTGAATAAGGGAGGCAACCGATCAATGTTTCTCTCTCTCTCTCTCTCTCTAAAATCAATTAAAAAAAACAAATAACATATCCTTGAGTGGGCATTTAAACAAACAAACAAAAAGAAGAGTCAGTCATCTTTGATTTTTTTTTCTTGTCTGCCTGTCCTCTCATATTCATTCTCCCAAATCGAATAATATTTTGTGAACTCCCCTCCATAATCACCCTTAAACTATTGCCTTCAAACTAGTTTCTTTTCAGGCCCTTATTACCTCTCCACTATACTACCTCAATAACCTCCTTTCATTGGCCTGATCGACTAACCTCTGCTGTCTCCAATCTACTGTATACAGTATCCTGCAACCAGAATAATCTTCCAAAAGCACTGCACAGATGGCAATCTACCTGTTACTGTCCTGGTGTCCCACCGAACAGCATTTAGCATATTGAGAGGTAATTTAAAAGACAGTATGACTTCCTGGTTCGAATCCTGGCTCTGCTACTTACTGTGTAACATTGGGCAAACTACAAATTATTTGACTTTTTGAGCCTACTTTCTTATTTGCAAAAAAGAAATAATACCTTCCTCTCAGAATGGTACTGAGAATATCACTTAACATAATGTAAGTAATGAGCCTGCCATATATTACTAGTGTGATAAATAATTATTAATCCTTCAATAACTGCTATACTTTCTCATACCTAGATCTTTGTTGAGATTTACTTTTTCTTCCACTTTCACTGCCTGCACCAAAACTCTACCCATCCTCTAAACTTACTGCAAATGCTTTCTCCTTCATCAAGTTTGTCTGATCCCCAGAACCAGCATGTAATCTCTCCCTGCTCTGTACTTTCACACTGAGTCACAGGAAATTGAAGCAAAGATGCTAAGAAAACTGGATCTGGAGTCTGGCAGACTTAAATATGAATCCTGGCCTCACCACACACTCATTCAGTGACCTTAAGCAAGTTAAAGTTTGTCAACAATTCCGAGTCACTTTTCTTTGGTAAGCAAATCTAAAGCCATGAAAATTTCATAAGTAAAATGGTGGCCGAGGAGGGTGATAATAATAACAGAAACTAGTAAATTTACTGTACAATAATGTGGGAAATAATCTGGTACAGTAACTGGCATGCAATAAATGGTAGCTATTATTAACTAGCCATTATTAGCTCATTTATTAAATTCTATATCATAATTATGATATACTTCGTCTTCTCATGCAGAAGACAGCATGACTGAGCAGAGAAACTAAGTTCTAATTCAGTCCTGAAGTTGAATAATGAACCTGCATATAGAAGGTGCTGTAAAGCAAGCAACGCAAATGTAGGGAATTACTTAAAATTAGGAACAGAATCTTAATATTCCTAATAATACAAATAGTGGGACCTCATGCAATTTGACTAATGAGTCAGTTTTTAAAAACATAAAATAAAAGCTGCCTAACAGTGCCTAACAACAGAAGTTTCTTAATAACCATCAGCTAGCCCTCACCCATCTTGTGCCCTCTGTAGTGATAGTCAGCACATATCAGGAGAGCAATACGCATCTATTATCCAACACAGCTTTCTTCTTAGGAGATGTGCCTGCCTCTGGTTTATACAAAATAAGGACACAATCATTCTGCACAACTTGAGTTCTACCATGTGGGAAGACTCCCATACAAGTGCTCAACCTGTGACTAGTCCACAAAATGGAAAGACCTTACTTACAATCAAGAGCATGCACATTTAAAAATCCAAATGAATATGTGGAGCATACTATCTTTTAAAAGCTTTTAAAACACAGTGACCTGATCCAGTTAAGCGAAAGTCTACTGGAGCACTTTCCAAAAGTCTACCCAGCCATGAGAACAAACTGAAGATGTATTAAGAAAGCATGAACTCCACTAAAAAAGGAAACCACTTAAAAATGGTAAAAATGATCAATTTTGTTACATATTTTACAATTTTAAAAAGTTTAAAAGGGCATAAACACAATCCAAAGTACCATGTAACTATGGAGTGTATGACGATTTAACTTGCACAAGGACTGGGATATACAGAAATAGATTATTAGATAAATATTACTTATTAACATGAACCCCCAAATTTGAATGTCTTTTTTAAAGTCATCATATGTGAGAAAAACTGAATTGCTGCCAAGAACCTTGAAGTTGACAAGACTACGACTAGATACAATGTATATATTACTTGTAAACCTTTAACAAAGTCAAGGAATTATATTCAATTGAAAACTGACACTGATTACCTTTGATCTGAAAATGAAAAGGTTACACTGTCTTTCCGTGAAGAAATCAATTTATCAATACTTTCCCACTGTTATCTACTCATCACATTGATTCAGAATTAAAGCTGGAAAAAAATTCTATAATGTCTATACTCAATTTATAAGTTTTAGCTGAGGTAATATTCTTAATCCTAATACTACAGTAGTTAAATGAGCTTCATCTTTCAAAGTCAATCATACACTTATTCCAATCATAATGACATTGCTCAAAACAGTAACTCTAAGCTTTTAGCATGGCATAAAAAATGTCATGATCTGACTCGTTATCATCAGCTTCATCTCAGCAATCTCTTACTATTATTACAGTACTGAGAACACTCTGCTATAACTGTTGAAGGGTCTAGCTCCCAGTAGGCCTTATATTCTACAAATACCCAATGAGCATTTATTATATGGAAAACACTGGGAATCAACATGGTAGATACAGTTAAAAACACATTTAAATATATTTTCCTGCACTTTTTCTTCTATACTAGGATTTTAAAATACCTGACAAAAATGACATTTTATGATTTCCCCAGAAACCAAAAACATTACTATTCATGTCTGAATTTAGGAGGCTGAACCAAAACACGAAGAAGATGACATATCATAACCTCCAAAAAGAGCAGCTTTTAAAGGACTTGGTGCACTCTCAAAAGGCATCCTGCACAGGTCTCTCTTTTTCTGGTCTAATCACTCCTCCTTTCTTACTTTTCTTTCTAATTTAACTCAGAAAAATTCCAAAACATTTACTTCCTTGTTTACAATAATATAAATGAGAAAAACCAAACGACACCATACACCAAACATAACCCAGTGGAATGGGACCCTGGACATTTCTGGGAGCTACAGTAAAGAGCCACAAAGGTCAGGCCACACTCACTTGGAATAGGCATCTGTGGTCTCATCCTTTTTCACTTCAGTCTCGCCCTCTGTTTTTGTGCCTTTATTTGTTTCATCCAGCCAATCTGAGACATGTTTAAGAGCACATTCAACAGTAGACACCATATTCTGAACAGCTTCAAGTTCCTCCGGAGATGGATAGATTGTTGAATGTTTCACCATAACATGGCGATCATCATTGGCAAAAGATCGAATAGATCTCTGTCAGAGGAGAAAGAAAACAATTACCTCAATAAAAAACATGTGACCTGAAAAGGATGACAAATATATTTAAGCCAAGTCACAGCATTGTCAAACCATTGTGAAATAGTCAACATTAAGACAGTAAAAAATGGCTCAGGAATAAGAAGGAAAACCCCATTCCACTGAATACACCAAAGAACTAGAGATCTTTCCTTTAAGTCTGGTAGGGTTCACCCAGGTCCCACTTGGTATGATGTATATGCTACCTTTTAACTGAATCCATGTGTTTTGAATATCACTTCAGAAAAAGTGACCCATATCACACATCACCTGTAAGAAACAGACACTTCCTAGCTTCGAGAGAGTACCTGGAAATGCATGATGGTGACTCATGATACCAGTCTCTCCTTTCCAAACTGCTGGAGATTTTTGCACCTTGAAAAATTGAGATTTCATAATCCAGTAATAATACAAAATACACCGTTATGTGTTTGGCATTTAAAACTTTGGTGCAAGGCTTTAATTCTGAAAAAGATTAGTAGGGGATATTCCAAATTCCAGAACAAGAAAAATACATACAGGGTGGGGCTAAAGTAGGTTTACAGTTGTTTGTATGGAAAATAATCCAATAATTAATAAATAATACAAGAATTCTGTTTCGAGTACTCACAACTATAAACCTACTTTTGCCCCGCCGTATACTGCAGAAGTATCAACTTCCCAAACTAATTTATAAGTGTATTACATTCTCTCTTTTTTTTTTTTTTTACTATATCTTTATTGATTTCAGAGAGAGGAGGGGAGAGGGAGAGAGATGGAAACATCAATGATGAGAGTCATTGATCGGCTGCAGCCCACAACCCGAGCATGTGCCCTGACCAGGAATCGAACCCCGGTCGTCTGGATCCTAGGTCCGACGCTCAACCGCTGAGCCACACCGGGCCGGGCAATAAGTGTATTACATTCTCAATCAAAATATCCTCAAGATAGATTTACTTAATACTCAAAAATAATTTTATAGCTCACTTGAGGGGGGAAAAAAACCAAAGCAAGAAATATTCTACAAAGATGGATGGGTGGCACCGTTATGCTAAAACAAAATATCAAAAATTTAAAAAGCAGTAATTAAAATGACATGCTGGCCCAGAAATCAGTGATGCAGATTAAAGCCTAGGAACAGAATGAATTTCATGAAAATATAATAGAGTAAGATCCTTCACACTCATGAGTCACACATCAAAAACCTTTGAATATTTCCAAATTTACAAATACCATGAAGACACCTGTACCAGTAAAAAGCAAAGTGAACAAGGATAACTTGCTGAGTTTTCATAAAGCCAAAAGTACTCTATTTTTTTAAAGGGTGGCTACAGTGTCTTTACTTATGAAATTATGTACCAGTAGATGGTAAATATTTGTTTTAAAGTCTTAACCACAAAATAAAATATCCATACTTTTTATCAGTATTCTTTGTTTTTTGTTTGAATATCAATATTTTACAAATGTATTAATTTGAACACTAGTATGTTAATACCACAGTATAACTGCTCCCTATAAACTAAAGCAAACTATAATTAAAAAGATCAGTAATCCTCTGAAACCCTGACTTATTATAAAAAGGACTAAACGCAATCACAAAAGCTTTCTTTTTTTCTAGATAAAAATCACCTTTACCTAGATTTCTTTCTTACTCAAAGTCCACAACCAGTTTTCCAATTAGAGGCTTTGGCTACAGACAGACAAACTTTTTTTTTTTTTAAATACTTTTTTAAAAAATTGATTTTAGAGAGAGGGGAAGGGAGAGAGAAACATCCATGAGAGAGAAACATCAACGTGGACTGGCTGTCTTCTGCTGCCCCCTGCTGGGGATCGAGCCCGAGACGCAGGCATGTGTCCTGATGGGAATCAAACTGGAGACCTCTTGGTGCACGGTTGACACTCAACCACTGAGCCACACCAGCCAATCACAAACTTTTTAATCACTTTATGAGATTTACTCATATATCTCGAAATAAGTAACAACAAAACAAAAGCCATAGGATGAACTAGAGATGCTAGGTTGTTCTAGGGATTATAACTTAGTTAAGTTGCTCTTTGGAAAAGAAATTCTACTAATATATTTTAGTTCTGGATGGTAGGAAAAAAATGTTAATTTGGGATTTTCTCTGTCATTTAGTTTTATGGTGAGTTACTAAATTACTTAAAATTACTCAGTCCTGCACACTGGCCTAACCATAATAAAATTAGATTACTACGTAACACAAGCCCTTGGTGTTACAAATAAACCCTCTCTCACAAATAACCCAGACTGCCAATGATGAAAGGAAGAATTAAATAAACAGTATTTTAAAAAAAAGTTGGAGGGCGATCTTATATACTCAAATAAGCTCCAAATAGATTTTTTAAAGCATTAAAAAATTAAATTGGAAAAACTGCAGAAACAGAAAGCTCTCATTCAAATCTGAGATGTAACAATAGGAGAAATTAAAAACCACCTACCAACCAACTAAATTATATAAAAACACAAAATTTTTACACCAGAAAATCTAAGCTAAATTTAAAATAAATAAACTAGAAATTTTCATCAACTTTCACCAATAATATATATATATAAAGCATTTCTTTAAACTGTAAGAATATCAAGACCATAATAGATAAATGAGCTGAAGTGTCGAATAATTCACATGGTAGGAAAAACAAGTCAATGTCATTTTTTTATATCTTCCCATAAACCTAGTGACAGAGAAAATCCCAAGTCAACATTCTTCCCACTATCCAAAACTAAAATATTAGAATTCCTTCTCTAAAGAGCAATTCAACTAAGTTATAATTCCTAGAACAAACTTTTAAAAAATCAAATTAACACTTAAACACCATCAGATTTACTAAACAACGTATTTCAAACACACTGATGTTTAATATTTTTGTGCTTTTCCCCCCCACTTATCTTTTTTAAACCTTTTCTCAGTTATACACTAAGGGGAGGGGGGGGAATCACAAAACATCCTCCTGAAACAAAATACTGGGGGGGGGGATTCAGCACATTTTACCAATTAAAAAACTAGGCACGAGAGGTTATGACCCCATCTAACATCTCAAATTCAAAACTATGAACCTTCCACAAAAAACAAGAGTTCCTTGATATTCAGTTCAGCGTCCCCAATACACTTAATTAACACTTGACCCTATTATTTTAAAAGCATGTGGGAAAAGGTGGCTTTTCAAGTTAAATACACATTTTATAAACTCCTACACCATTCTTATCACTAAAGATTCGTTCAGAGTTTTTAATTTCCATGGGAAAAAACTGAACTTCAGGTAGAAAACATAAGAAAATTACACAACTTCAAGGTCACATTAGCCATTTGTATCAGTTTGCTAATGCCAGTTTTATTAGAAAATATTATTTATGAGCATTCCCTCCTTTGTATTTAATAATTTAAATGCAGGCTCATGGGGCTCCATCTTGTGGTTTAAAGGGCTCATAATAAATCTGAACTCATTTCTTTGCCTAAATAGTAGAGGGCCTTCTTTATCTGATGCACAAGGGCCCAAAATTAACACCATTGTTTTTCACTTGCCCTCCCCCTGTTAACACTTCCAACCTTAAACTACTGGAATCTTTTGTAACTTAATTAAGAAATATAAGTAATAACCTACCATGGTTTTCTATCCTGTTTTAACTTCTTTTTCCGATCCTTTCCCCTCTTTCTTGTCGTCTTCACTAGACACTGTTTTGTGGGACAGTACCTCCTCATAAGCCTGAGTCCCCTGACGGCTCAAAGTCAATATGGCAAAGATATTTGAAGACTGCTCTCTGGATTACACCTGCCAAGAGAAAATAAAAATAACTTTTCAAAAATGCTTATTTATAATTAGTTTCATATCTGAGTGTGGGGCCTATAAACATGTTATCGACTTAAAAGAAACAATCTTTACAAATGAGGAAAACTAACTCATTTCAAACAAAAAGCTAAAACATCTTTCGAAGGCCTGGATCCAAGAGAGTCTAAGTGATATGGCCAGGAAAGCAATCCCCTCCTGGTTGCCATAATGTGGCTGGCAGCTGGCTGACTTGCTCTCAATGAGATAAAAACATTAACAAACAGTACCACCACCTAAAAAAAGTAATACAACTATTGTTGGCAACAATGTTGCAATTAACCCTTGAGATTTTTCTATTGGAAACTGGCATTAGTCAGACCTATCCAAAAAGTAGGTAAGACACCTGAAAATATACCAAAACCATCGAGTGTAACTGTGAGGCTTTTTAATCTGATACTGCCACCAGACAGACAGTATATGTTAGCACAATGTTTTTTCTTTAATCATTTTTAGGACAAAAATTCAGAATGCTTTTTTGGCTCTGTTCCCCTTACTCCTGAGAGATCCTACTTCCCCCTCAACCTATTATGCGCTGTTATATGAGACTCCTGAATATCCGCTAGATCCTGACTTCATTACCCATGGATGACTCTGGCCAGGATCCCAATGTATATTTCTGCCCAAAGGCCTCAACACCTCTTTGTTTCACATTTATGAGATTTTATTCCAGATAGGGTAAAAATAAACTCTTCTGAGCATTGATGAAATGCTTATATATTATAAGCCAGCTATTTAAAAAAAACTTTAGAGTGACTGTCAAAATAGAACACAAGCTTTAACTATGTGGATATCAGGAGTCATTTATGTACCACACAATACATAAACTCACAAAGAAATAGCTTCATCTTCATTTCAGTATCTTTTCTTTAAATTTCCTTTAAATAAAGAATCCCCCTTATTCTTATGTTTGTAACAGTTTCCTAATACAGTCCAGTTACTCCCTTAAAGAAAATCCTTTTTTAATTTTGGGGGATCAGGAAAATTACAGGTGTGACATTTAACTCTCCCAAATACTGCAAATGAAAAAACAGATCTACAATTATAATCAAAGGATAATCAGCTGTGACCTACATGCAAAACTATTCATATCCTATAACCAACTTCCCTGACTCTGGTTTACAAAACCCACCAGAAATAAGCTAGTGAAGCTTGACTAAAACAAACAAACAAAAAGATTATTCAACCGAACTAATAAGCAAAACTTATTTTGATTATTTATATACATCACTTCAAGATAAAGAGGAAAGGCACACATACTGCAAATCACAGGGTCCTTTTATACAGCAAAGAAACTAAAACTTGATCCCATGGTAAAAGACATCTCAAAGATTCTTTTGTTGATAAAGTTATACCTTCTGCAGAAAGATCATATTACACAATTTAGAGATTTTGGCATTTCCCATTCCCAACCCTACTCCATTCTAGGGGATTCAATACTTAGCTGTGAACCCAGCAGCCAAAAAAGATTGCTATGTGTTCAGTTGAGAACCGAAAACAAAGTCCATATGCTCTACTCTGTAAAAAGGTAAAGGCAACAAACCAATCAATCATATTAAGAAAGGAGGTTGAAAGCAGAAAAAGCAGGAAGAGTGCTAAGAAAACACTGATATAGTAGACAGGTTATGGATGGCCAATATAAAAGTACAGCACTCTTCAGTCATTTAGCAGAGATTAACCACCCTACAACCATCAAGCAGCTCTGGGAACCTCAGGGTGTTATAGCATAGCGCGAGAATTCATGATAAAAGCAGTGTATCTCAGAATCATATGTTGTTGGTGCTATAAAAGGAACTATGAAATCATCTGGCCCAATTCCACCTACCCCTCAGTTTACAAATGAACTACAATAAAAAATATTAAGATGACACAACTAATCGGGGACAAGGCCTGATCCAGAACCTAAATCAAAGCCCAATGCTTTTTCCCTACTATATCAGATTGAGAAAAAGAGTTAAATTATATACAGTAGACTCTAAGCAGATAGGAAGAAACTGAAACACATTTTTAAAGAGTTTCCCCTTTTTAAAAATGGATAAAATTATTTCCTTCAAATAAAAACTCAACTTTGCCATTTAATAGCTATTGCGACCTTGGAAAATTATATGACTCGGAGAATCACTTAATTTACTTAGGTTTCAGTTCCCTTTATCTATTCCACTACTGATAGCTAACATTTATGGACTCATTTGCTGTACCAGGCACTGTTCTAAGAGCTTTTCATACATTACCTTATTTAATCCTTACAATCTCAATGACTCTCTCTAACCCATCAAGAAGAAACTAGAGCATCAAGAGGTTTATAACCAAATTAAAATCACAAAGCAAAAGTATACAGTAGAACAAAGATTCAAACCTAGACAGTCTCTTTCAATAATTTTTTAAAATTTATCTTTATTGTTGAAAGTATTACAGATGTCCCCTTTTTCCCCTCATTGATCCCTTCCACCCCGCATCCATCCCACTCCAGGTCTCTTCCATAACAATGTCTGTGTCCACGGGTTATGCTTATAGACACGTAAGTTCTTTGATTAATCTCTCCCCAACCACTCCCCCACCCTCACCTTCCCTCTGAGATCCCTCAGTCTGTTCCATGCTTCTATGTCTCTGGATCTATTTTGTTCATCAGTTTATTTTGTTTATTACATTCCACATATGAGTGAGATCATGTGGTACTTGTCTTTCTCTGAATGGCTTATTTCGCTAAGCATAATACTCTCCAGTTCCCTCCATGCTGTCTCAAAGGATAAGTGATCCTTTTTTGCAGCTGCATAGTATTCTATGGTGTAAATGTATCATGGCTTTATTATCCACTCATCTACTGATGTGCACTTGAGAAGAATGTATATTCTGCAGCTTTGGGGTGGAATGTTCTGTAAATATCACTTAAATCCATATGATCTAGTGTGTCATTTAGGGTCACTGTTTCCTTGCTGATTTTATGTCTATCCAGTGAAATCAGTGGGATATTAAAGTCCCCTAGTATGACTGTCTTGCTGTCGATCTCTCCCTTAAAGTCCTCTAGAAGTTTTTTTATAAATTTAGGTGCTCCTACGTTTGATGTATATTATGTTTATCAGGGTTATAGCCTCTTATTGGATCCATACCTTTAGTATTATGTAGTGACCTCTCTTGTCTCTCATTATGGTCTTCATTTTGAAGTCTATTTTGTCTGATATGAGTATTGCTACCCAGCTTTTTTTTCATTTCCATTTGCATGGAAAACTTTTTTTCCATCCTTTCACTCTCATCCTGTGTGAGTCTTTTGTTTTGAGGTGTGTCTCTTGTAGACAGCATTATATTTGGTTCATGTTTTCTTATACATTCAGCCGCCCTATATCTTTTTACTGGAGCATTTAATTCATTTACATTTAGGGTTACTATTGATAGATACTTATCTACTACATTTTTAATTCTTTATGCCTGTATTTCTTTTTCTCTATATTTCTACTTCTAATTACAGCAATTCCTTTAACATTTCCTGCAATGCTGGTTTGGTGGTGATAAACTCCTTTAGCCCCCCCCCCCTTTTTTTTTTTTTTTTTTGGTCTGGGGAGCTCTTTATTTCACCATCTATCTTGCATGACAGTCTTGCTGGACAGAGTTTCAGATCCTTGTTTTGCATTACCTTGAATACTTCATGCCATTCCCTTCTGGCTTGTAGAGTTTCTGATGAGAAGTCAACTGACAACCTTATGGGAGCTCCTTTGTAGGTAACAGATTGCTTTTCTCTAGTTGCCTTTAATAGTCTCTGTCTTGAATTCTTGGCATTTTAATTATGACGTGTCTGGGTGTGGGCCTCTTTGGATTCTTCTTGTTTGGGACTCTCTGTGCCGCCTGAACTTGTGTGACTTTTCCCTTCACCAGGTTGGAGAAGTTTTCTGCCATTATTTCATCAAACAGGTTCTCTAACCCTTGCTTACTTTCAACCTCTTCTGGCACTCCTATAATGCAAACATTGTTACGTTTCATGTTGTCCCACAGCTCCCTTAAACTATCCTCCTGTTTTTTAATTGTTTTTTCTTTTTGGATCTCTGACTGAGTGATTTTTTTTCTACCCTGTCCTCTAATTCGCTGATCTAATCCTCAGCTTCCTCTAATCTGCTGTTTATTCCTTCCAATGTATTCTTTACTTCTGCTGTCATTCTTAATTTCCTTCATAGTTTCCATATCTTTTTTCATGCTGTTGAGCATCCTTACAATTAGTATTCTGAACTCTATATCTGATAGATTGTTTATCTCCATTTCATTTAGCTCTTTTTCTGGAGACTTCTCTTATTCTTTCATTGGGACTTGTTTTTTTGTCTCTCCATTTTGGCTGCCTGTTTGGGTTTCTATGTATTAGGTAGATCTGCTAGGACTCTCAGTCTTTTTGGAGGGTCTCTGGTGCAGGCCAATGTCAGATGCAGTTTTTGACTGCCCCCGAGTACCGTTTGGAGCTATCAACAACCCGTGGCTTGAGGTCTCCTCTGCTGGGGCTGGGTAAGGTTGGACAGGACCAAGATGCATACTAAAGTCTGCTTTTCCAAGGCCTGGGTCCAGAAGAAGATCAGGTAAAGATTCCAAGCACTCTAAGGTCTGTCTCTGCCTGCAAGCTGATTAATCTGATTCTCTTAATGAACCTCAGGCTGTAGAAACTCCTCTGGGTAGAGCAAGAGGTTTTCCAGCAGGGTGGGGCAATTGCTTCCCCCATAAGGCAAAAGCACCAAATTGTCTGCCTGAGAGAAATGCCCTCTGCAGTCTGGGGGAATGACTCTGCATAGGAATCCAGATGAGTGCCTTCTGATCTCACTCTCCAGAGCCCACAACCCTAGATTCTCCTCACACAGTCCACCTCTGTCCTCCCTCTGCTGAAGCCCAAGGTGAGTGGCTGCAGGCGAAACGAAACATTGGGTGTTAGCTCTTTAAGAGGGTGCCTGCATTTCCAGCTGCCTCTCCCTGGCTGACAGA